CGCGGGCCCTGGGGCGCTCCCTGGAAGACAGGCCCCGGGCCACCCGGCCAGGTCACTCCTCTGCCGTGCGGGGTGACTGGGGATCTGAGGAGCGACAAGCTCCTGGGGGCTGCAGTGGCCACCACACCCAGAGAGGACAGTGCCCCAGAGCCTTGCCGAGCCCCATCCTTACAAACAGAAGCAAACACCACAAGGGTGCTGCTGCTGCTGCCTCTTTTAGAAAAGAAGACGTGGTAACGGGCCCGAATCCACTCTTAAAAACCGGCAAACTGGGGCCTATTTTCGTTGTTTTTTTTGAGACAGGTCTCCGCTGTATAGTTCAGGGTGGCCTTGAACAGACTATGTAGCCCAGGCCTGAACTTGTGGTGATCCTCCTGCCTCAGTCTCCTGAGTGCCGGGACTATAGCCATGTGCCACCCCGAAAAGTAGGACCTTTCGCCTGTCTGCCTGGCACTGCGTGACCATCTGCCTTTCTGTAGGACCCTATGCACACCTGGTCCTGGAAGCTGCCCAACTCAGTTTGGCCTTCCTCAGCTCCCGGCTCATCCCTGCACCCGAGCCATTAGCCCACTGCTCACAGGGACTGCCGCCCTCCCCAGGCCCCAGCCCCGGGCCCCCCCTGCCACCTGGCACCTTTCTGACAGCGCTCGGCTCCCCTGGGCTGCAGCACCTCCTCCGACAGGCTGGTGGTGACTTCACTGGTGTACGACTCCTCCTCCTCAGAGCCCTGGGCCGGGGACAGGTGACAGCCGGGCAGACTGGGCCTCCCCAACGCAGCCGGGCGCTGCCCTGGCCCGCACAGACCTGCCAGCCAGCCCTTCGGTGGGACGGGAGAAGGCACTGGGGGCTCTGAGCCCTCAAACATGCCCGAGGGGTCTGGCATCATGGGGTGACCCCAGTCACTTGGGGTGAGGCTTGGTGGGGCCCACGGCTAACTGGGCACTGCTGAGATTTGGGGTTCAGGGAGACAGGGTCAAGGGAGCACAGAAGCTAAAATGGGGTCCCAGGAAGAGCACGGGGGCTAGAAATGGAGACAAGGGCCCCGAAGAGATTTCTGAGCTGAGCCACTCAGCCCACTGATGCGGGGGGGATGTGAGAGGGCCCTGCAACCTTCTGGTCTCTGTGAACCCCACCGAACCCTTCCCAGGTCCCCCCACACGGCTGCCACCTGCCCTCACCTCGTTCTCGGAGGAGCTGGCAGAAAGGAGGACTTCGCAGGCGTCGAAGAACTCCGTGTGGGAATCGGCCAGTGACAGGACACTGCTCTGGGACAGCTGCGGGGTCAGCTCTCGCCCCTTCATGTACAGAGCTTCTTGCTACGGGGGCCAGATGGGCGTCAGGCCCACGGCCACTGCGGGAGCCAGGCCTGGGAGGGCGTGACGCTGACTCTGAGCCCTGCTCCAAGCCCTGTCCTCTACTAACTCATTCTTTTTTTTTGTATCCTTTTGAGACAGGGTCTCACTGCGTAGCCCGGGCTGGCCTTGAACTCACAGTTATCCTCCTGCCTCAGCCTCCCTAGTGCCAGCATTGTCAGCATGCACTACCACCCCAGGCAAACCCATTCAAACTTTTTTATTTCATTTTTTCCAAACCCATTCCATTTTGACACACGCCCACAGGGAGGTACAATTACTAATCCGCTTTGCAGGTCAGAGCACAGACCCTGGTCACACAGCTGGCAGGCAGTGGCACCAGGGCCTGGCCCCCAGAGGACTCTCTGGGCCCTCGTTTTGCTGTCTGCTGGGTCAGAACCACCGCGTTGTGGATGCGGGGGGAGGGGCAGTGCACTGTCCTGGGAGGGGCCGCGCCCATGCTCTAGGATCCCAGATTTCGCGGGTGCTTCCGGACCGAGAAGCAAAGTGCCCACCCACGAGGAAAAAGGCTCAGGGACTGCCCGCTCCTCACCTCCTCGGGGTTGAGGGAACTGAAGGAGTCAGCCGTGGTGTCCGAGGATGTGGACAGCGAGTGGAGGCGTCGCTGCCCCCCGGGCACCTGGGGGAGCAGCGGGTGAGGGGACAGGGCCTCCCGCCTGCGCCCGGCCCAGTCCTGCTGTCTGCAAGGTTGCCCCGTCCCCACACTCACCCCGATCCTGGACAGCTCGGAGCCCCGGTGCAGGTCCCGCAGTCGGTCCCGCTCCGTGCTGAGTGTGGCCAGGATGCTGCTGAGGGAGCTGTGCACTGCGGGCCGGGGGACACGTCACCCTCCCGCCGCCCGGGCCCGCACCGCTCCCCAGCTCTCACTCACCCTTCTGCGCCAGGGCCCAGAAGCTGCGCTGCAGGTGGGCATAGTCTGGGGGTGGCAGCCCCCGGGGGCCCGAGGAGTCCCGGGACTCCATGTAGCGAGACAGGTTGGGGACAGAGCCGTGGAGACGACCGACCTGTGCAGGAAAGGCGGGGGTAAGGGAGCAGCGTCCCCAGGGCCCACCCTGCAGCCCGGGCCCACAGCCCCTCACCCGGCCGATGGTGTCGTCCTTGGCAAAGCTCTGTGTGCACCACATGCGGGTGGTCCGCTTGCCCTTCTTGGGTCTCTCGGTGGTCCCGGAGGCCTGGCAAGGCGAGGGGGCAGCCGCACTCACACAGTGAGGATGGGGAGGGCACAGTGGGTACGACAGCCTGGCAGAGGCAGACGCAGGGGACGGGCCCGCCCCGCGGTGATGGACTGAGGGGGACCCAGGCCCTTACCTGGTGTGTGGGGATCACAGGCGCCGAGGGGATGCGGTGCAGGGACTCCAGGCTCTGGAGGAGTCTGTGCAGCTCCTGGAGCTTCCCCTGGCACTCGGACAGCGCTGGGGAGCCGAGGGTGGACGTCACTCCCCGTGCAGGCCGGGCTCCCTGTGCCCCTCCGCGTGAGCCAGCGCCACAACCCAGAGAGTCTGGTGCGGCCGCCCTGCCCGACACCCGAGGTCCCCACCCTGCCTGAACCCCACCACCCCCTCTGCTGGCTGCACCCGGACCGGTGCCCACACGGGGTGCACCTGCCATACCGTGAGAGCAGCGGTCCAACCCGTCACTGTCCCTCAGCCAGGAAGACACCTTCTCCTGAGCTCCGACCCCAGGCAGGGCGGAGGTGCCACCCGCCGTTAGGAGCTGCGGGCCAGGAACCTGTGAGTGAAGGAGGTCCCCACCGGTGCCACCCTGAACGGCCTGCCCCGCCTCGGGGCCCACCCTACCTTGCGATGAGTGGTGCCAGGCACGTCCAGGCGGTGGGCACGCAGCTGGGCCACCCAGTTTTGGAACAGGTCCTGGGATTTGATCTGCAGAAGCAAAGGAGATGGGGGACAGCTGAAGGCAGGGGCCCCTTGCGGGCAGGTGGAACACGACGCCCCAAGGGGCCGACACCAAGCTCAGTGCCCACTCTCGTGACAAATGACAGGGCGAGTTGCCCGTGGCTGTTTTAGACAATGGCAACTCCCTTCCTGCTTTCCTTTCTTCCTCCTCTTTCTTTTTCTTTTTTTCTTTTTTCTGTTTGTTTTTGAGACAGGGTCTCACTCTGTAGTTGAGACTGACCTGGAACTCACTATGTAGCCCAGGCTGGTCTCGAGCTCACAGCAATCCTCCTGCCTCAGCTTCCCGAGTGCTGGGATTACAGGCGTGCGCCATCATACCCAGCTTCTTCCTCCTTTTTCTGTCCTGACACTGGGGATTTAACCCAGGATATTCCCACACAGATACATGTCTGGCCATTATTTTAACTTTTTATTTTGACAGAGTCTCTCAAAATTGCTAAGTGGCCCAGGCTGGGCTGAATTTGCAACCCTCCTGCCTCAGCCTTCCAGAGTGCTGGGATACAGGCATGACCCACCATGCCCACCTATGATTGTAACTTTCTTCCTGCCAACTCCAGAAAGGCCCTGAGCCAATGGATCCTTGGGTCTGTGCCCATGCACCCAAGCCAGAGAGCCAGGACCAGGCCAGGTCCAGCTCTCGCCTCCAGGGATAGAACGCAGGACCTCACACCCTGGGGAAGTGTCTGCCCCTGAGTCGCATCACTGGGCCCTGATATGACACCTTGAGGTGATAAATGTTGTCTTCAGTGTCGAGGTCGATGCGCTGGGCCTTCTTGTTGACAGACATGACCGACAGCCGGACGTCAATGGAGCCGTGCAGCTTTCCCTTGGCAACCTGGCATGGGGTTGGTGGGAAACAGGACCTGGCTGAGGTCCCCACAGACAACGCACCCCCACCCCAAACCCACTCTAGGCTCAAGACCCAGGCAACAGTTCACCCTCAGGCCCCAGCGACACTACCAGAGGGGACCCGTCAGTCGTCCCCTGTTGCAGAACACGACAGATGATACCAGAGTGGGAACGCTACATCGATTGTTGTGCTGTTCTGTTTAGGCATCAGTGACAGGAAGCACCCCTGTACGTGTCCCACACCGATGCTGCTTTAAAACCTAAGTATGTATCTTGTTTTTTGGTTTTTTGAAACAGGGTCTCACTACGTAGTTGAGACTGACCCGGAACTCACTATGCAGCCCAGGCTGGTCTCGAACTCACAGCGATCCTCCTGCCTCAGCCTCCCGAGTGCTGGGATGACAGACAGGCGTGCACCACCACGCCCGGCTCTAAGTACGTATTTTGGATCTGCACTTGGTCAAATCTGCAGATATGGGGCCTGAGAGAGGGGTCCGAGGACACACAGCGTGACTGTAAGCTGCTGCTCTGCAAAAGCTGCGCCTGGCATTCAGAGCCTGCCCGTCTGGGTGCAGATGCCCACTGCCTGCCCTGCATTCTCGGCGGGCTCCTCCCCGCCCAGCCCGGGCCCCGACTCACGTCTTGCCGGGTCGTTGCATAGTGGAGGATCCCATCCTCGAGCACAAAGTACCTCTGTGACATTGCCCAGCAGCGGGAGGCCGGAGAGGCCATGAGGACAAGAGCAGGAGAGAGCAGACATTTAGACTTTTCTCTCTTCTTCCCAAGCAGATGCCAGCGGCTCCCGGCAGCCTCCCCCTGCAGGCCCACCCTGCCACCTACCTTGTGCCAGCCCTTCAGGGGCCACTTCCTCTTCTTGAGCAAGTGGCCTTCCTGCCGCTCGGGCTTGACACCCTCTGCTCCCAGCCTGCCCCGGGGCTCCTCCACCACCTCCCACGGCTCGGAGGCCTGCAGTCCGGGGTACAGAGAGGGGAGCGGGCAGCAGGTGAGCCTACCAGCCACTCGAGTCCCAGGCCACCCGCTGCTGCTTCCCCAGACCTGCTGGCCACTGCTGGGCTTTGAGGACTGAGCGCTCTCAGCCAGGGACGGGGTGTCCCTCTCCTGGAGGTCCATGGACGAGGGAGAGGCCACTGCCCGTGGAGGGTGTGGGGCAGGCGCAAGAAGGACGTCACCCGGTCCGGAGGGGACCCTTGAGAAGGAGAGACCATCTGATACAGACACCTGCCAATGCCCTCGGCTCTACCCCATGCCACCCTGGGCAGGTCCCTCTGCTACACCCTGGCACCATGGCTTGCTCGCTGAGGCGAACGAACGCACACAGACAGGCTGGCGCCAAGGGGAAAGCTGGCGTGCCCAGCCCAGTGGGCACCCGTGGGGGCTCAGGAGGTGTGGGGTGGAGGTGGTCCCAGGGGAGCAGGGATGGGGACCGTCGGGAGCCCCTCCACTCCTCTGCCACGGCATGGCCGCATTGCCCTGCAAAGAACCCTTCAAGCCCCCTCAGTTGGTCCCCATTTCCTCAGGGTCCCATTTTCTGCAGGGAGACGCCGAGGCCTGAGACAACCCCCCTTTTCCCTGCCCCCCACTCCTGCCACACATGCTCCTAGGGTCCCCAACTCAGACCCACGGCCTCCCAAAGCCTCCCGATGCTCCTTTTCCCATCTCAGTGCTCCGGGCTCCTGAGGAGGGGCACCCACCCAGAGAGAGCGGGCCACGGTGCTGCCGGGGACACGGTGAGCAGAAGAGGTGGCCAAGAACATGCCGAGTCCGCAGGTCCCGCAGCAGGGCCCACAGGCGCCCTCCGCACGGCTCGGCCGGAGATCGGTAATGCGCGCGGGGGGGGGGAGGCCGCCCGAGGCTGGGGGAGCAGCCCAGGTCTTCTTGGGGAGCCGGCGAGCACCTGAGGAGCCAGGCTAGGAGGGGACAGGGACGTGGCAGGGGAAGGGCAGCCAGCCGGGAAGGCGGTTGCAGCACAGGGGCCCCGAGGCGAAACTCCTGCATCCAGCCGTTGAAAGTTCGCAAACTCTCCCGGTGCCTGGGTTTCTGGGGCCCTCGACCCGGGTCCCCGACCCCTCGCTGTTGGCCGCTCGTGGGGCTCAATCACGAGGAAGGAGGGGCCGAAGGCAGCCA